GGCTGAAGAGCTGGGTATATAATTTTTGTGTAGTGTTGATCTCATCATGCATTAGGTGCCCAGCTTTTGTCTATTTTGGTACCTTCCTCCACCAAAGAAATTCTATTGAAAATAGGATGTCATATATTACATGTAAACTTACTTTTTCTTTTGGAACAAATCCTCTGCTTGCTTGGTCAACACCTTGTCAAGATTTGCAGGATTATCCTTAACAAAGAGAGTCATACATTAAATTATTTTTTACCATTTCAGACCAAGTGTCATTCCCTAGAGTATCATTTCTTTTCTTAATGGCTGCACATGAGACGACACAAGAATTTGGATACAACTCAAACAAAGAATTTTATTAAGACTTTATCAAGATTTGCAGGATTATCCTACAGTTAGTAATAAAAAAGAAGGTCAAGAGAATGACACGTCAACTGAAATGGAGAAACATTATGCCCAAGCTAAAAAGGTCTATAGTATTAAATAAATATTATAAGATAAATTAATGGGAATTAACACAGTCAGCAGATCCACAGAGTGGCTCTTTTCCACTGGATTCTAATTGGACTTTAGACTGCTAACAAAGCAAAGTAATGAATAGCATAAATTTCCTACCCTGCAGTAGAGTTTTGCTCTCTCAAAATCCTCCTTCTTCAGATACATTTTCCAGACATCTCTAAGAGACAAAAATTAAGAATTGGTTCTAATACATAGACAAGTCAGTTACAGTAAAGGCACTTGAACCATGAACACTTCAAGTTTTATGTCTTAAGATACTTTAAGTTTCATGATATTTAAAAATGTATACAGTGAATAATCCCCTGAGCCAATTCATTGCAACAGACCTCCTTGGCTCTGATGTAATGTTTTCCCATTTCAGACCATGTGTCATTCACTCCCTAGAGTAAGATACATGAATATGGATACAACTCCAACAAAGAATGTTATTCTCAAGAGAATGACACGTGGTCTGAAATGGGGCAACATTAGGCTCGAGCACTCTAGAGCTGAGGAGATCTATTAAGATTGTTTTTTGATCACTCAGTGTATTTGAACTCTATGTTTATAATTTTGTAGTGTTTGAAACTTACAGTACAGAATTCAGAAAAAAATATCAAAAAAATATCCTAAATTCCCTCACTGTAGGAACAATGGAAATTCACATTGTAAGAAGTCATAGGGAAGCATCCATGGCATGTGCTGCTAAAGTGCTGCCTCTGACTACTGTCAGTGGTTATGAATGGCCTGGCTTCAATCCCTGGACTCGCCATCATGTTCTCTTCTATTGACAATCTTTAACTGTATAAAAGAGAAGCATGGGTGGCATGCACTGCTATTGCTCCACCTCTAACCAATGCTAACTGTGTTGGAGCTCAGCATCGAATGTGAATAGAGTTGTTTGTTAGTTTTCTCCTGTGCTGTCTACAGATTTTCCTTCCTCCACAAAAATCAACTTCTAAATTCTAATTTAATCAATCAGCTGTTTTATCAATTGGGTTAATAAACCTGTTAGGCATATTATGCCATCTACCCACGAATGCATTACAAAGAGTTTACCTGCTTTCTCTTGTAACATGGTACTGGAAGATGGCTGTGTCTGAATAAATCCACACTGTCTTTTTGGCCATGTCAATAGACATTCCTCTCATAACTCCATACTGGAAAGAATTAAGTTTACTTGTTATAACAGGCTTATCTAAATGGTGAGCAGTTGCATATCTTGGTTCTCTGGTTCATCCCAGTAAAACTTAACACACTAAATTCCAATTTGATCTGTGAATTAGCTGCAGGCACAGATTCAGGGGGGTGTCCTGTGGTGCACCAGACACCCCCTAAAATTGTAATCACTCTCGACTTACACTTTTTTGAAGTGATGCATAATATCTTTATACTTATGTATTTCTTCATTTGGGACACCTCCTAACAAATTCCTGGATCCACCCTGGATCCACCCCTATAGCTGTGCCCTGACTTTGATCAACACAGAGGTTGTTTCAGGCTACTGAATAATGATAAAATTTGAAGGTTTTCCCCAATTAATTTTTTTTCTGTGATAGTAATATACTTCACTGAATCTTAAATAATCTAAATTTAGGAAACAATTTGATGTGTACTGTGCATGCCATTAATCATTTTTCTTTTGATCATAAATATTGCTATTTTAATTTGATTTGTCTTGTTTTTACCCTAGGTGGCATGACATCTTCAAAGACTGTCTCTTCACTCAACAGAGACACAGCTTCAAATCTATTAAAGACAGAAAGAAAGTAGGTATATAGGTCACATATGGTCACTGTTTAGTACTGGGATGAGCAAGAGAAGAAAACCAGAAGTGTGCAATTAATTAATTGCATGGATTAAGAGAGAATCAAGGCCAAATCAACCAATCAGAAACAAGTATTTTAATGCAGATTTGGTATTAAGACTGGAATACAATAGAAGTCATCTGTTGCACTAGAGAGCAGGTCAAGTACATCACGAGAACAAGAACATGGACATAGAGCCAAAGACACAGACTGACAGAATAAATAAACGAATGCACCTTTTTTTGAAAACAATAGTTCCATAAGTATATAAACTTTTTTTAATATGGAAGTTGTTGTGAAAAGATATAAATGATATATAAATACAAAAATGAATTGAATAACGAGAAGACCTTACTCAGACAGACGGATAGAAAGATAGACAGACGGACAATGCGTTCAAGTGGGAAAGCAAAAAAAAAAAGGAACTGCCAGTGTTATACCTATCTTTGTTTAATAAAAGAGCATGGAATTCAGTGAGCCCAATAGCCAAGGGAGGCACTGGGACTTTACTTTCACCAGAAGGCATATATCTTTACAATATCCATTAAGGTCAAAAAGAATACTTAGACAAGTTGAGATAAAGAGGAATGGATGAGACTGAATGGGATGAAATGATATTTCATTATAGAAATTGTTATTAGATAAACTAAAAAGAAGATGGGAATGAATAGGAAGTGAGATGGGATGCAGTACAAGGAGACAAGACATGATAAAAAGAAATGGGTTAAAATGAGATTAAATGGGAATAATGGGTTAAAATGAGATTGAATGGGAATAATGGGTTAAAATGAGATTGAATGGGAATAATGGGTTAAAATGAGATTGAATGGGA